AAAAAAAAAAAAAAAAAAGAACTTGACTGTTTTCTCAATTTTATTATCTTTGTTAGTCATACTATATACTTCTTACTAACATAAACGATGGCATAAAGTCTTGACACAATAATAAGACTTATCACGATCTTATCACTTTGCACATCACATTACTCTTAAAATCAAGAACTGCTAAAATGACACGTGTCACGATTTTATCACTTTACACATCACATTACTTTGTCAGTCTGCCCGGAGACAACGGGTTCGACCCGTTGGGCCTTGCGGAGGACCCGGAAAACTTGAAATGGTTCGTTCAAGCCGAGCTAGTCAACGGGAGGTGGGCCATGCTTGGAGTAGCCGGAATGCTCTTGCCAGAGGTCCTAACCTCGGCCGGAATCCTTAACGTCCCCAAATGGTACGATGCCGGAAAATCCGAGTACTTTGCCTCGTCATCAACCCTACTCGTAATCGAGTTCATCCTCTTCCATTACGTCGAAATTAGGCGGTGGCAAGACATAAAAAACCCGGGCAGTGTAAACCAAGACCCGATTTTCAAGAGCTACAGCCTGCCTCCAAACGAGGTCGGCTACCCGGGCGGAATATTCAATCCACTCAACTTCGCACCAACGGTGGAAGCTAAGGAGAAGGAGATTGCCAATGGTAATATCCAAGCTTTTGATTATTAATTTTTTCTTTTGCCGAACTTTTCGAGTGTTTAGTTTGATTAAATAAACAGAGGATTGCTAGACAACAACCAAAAAAAAAAAAAAAACAGAGGATTGATTTTAGGGTTCACTTTTTGCAGGGAGACTAGCAATGTTGGCATTCTTGGGGTTTGTTGTGCAGCACAATGTGACCGGAAAAGGGCCGTTCGACAACCTTGTGCAGCACCTTTCGGACCCGTGGCACACCACGATTATTCAGACATTCAAGTGATATATATATGTATTTTTTTTGCTTAGTATCAACAAGGAACTTTGAGGATTGGAAGATGTAATGTATTTTTCTTTTCATGTGACTTTTGGAGGTGATGTTTTGGAAATGAGATATGTGGGTTATATTTGTGAACAGAGGAGGGAAAACTTATGTACAGGGAAATTTGAAGAGGGGTTTATCATATGCTTAAGTCCCAATTTGATCCATTGGCAGAAGTGATTGTTTAGATGCTGTGGCAAGAAACATCATAAGGAGAATTAATGATATGAGTATTTGATCTTGCATTAGTAGAATTTATAATTTAGTTTGTCTCCATATATACTTATTCATTTGTATGGTGAACTTCATATTTAGTTTGTCTCTATAGTTACTTATTTGTATGGTAAATTTCATCCTACTCCTATCTATGTGTGGTCTGACGGTTAAAACTTCCGAAGTGTGGGAATAGGTTTGAATCTACCCACTTTTCTTTTGTGTCCCAATATCAAGTTTTTTCGCCAACTTGTTGCAAACAAACAATTTTAGATACGACGAAGTTGACTTGTCGAGTGAGTTCAAACTCCAATATTTATTATTTTTGAGTGAACGAGACTCCAAAAAGGTCGGGTGTCTACTCAATTCATAATACTTTAAACAGAAGATACTACGATCTCGTTACAGAACTATTTCGTCGGAGTTTGTAACTGTTAGATCAACTATCTCTGACGGTTAAATAATCCAACGTAAAAAAATCTCAATTGAATGATTTCATAACTGAATCTTAGCATTTCCCATTTAAAACAATCTCAAGACTCAAATGGCCCAAGGAGCTTACACTTAAATGACCCAAACCCCTAATAATTAATTAATTACTAAATAATCCAATATTTTTTTTTTTTTTTTTTTTTTTTT